AAGAGATGATAAAATGGGAGGCATTTTCATACTTTTCTAGAAAGAGTGCAAATGTGTTAAAACTTTCTAGAAAGTAATTTTGAAATATGTGTCAAGACCTTCAAAAACACCTATGCCCTGTGACTCAGTAATTCCATTTCTTTTTGTCTATCCCAAGGAATCATTCTTAAATAAAATCTACCTTTGCACACCGAGATGTTCATTACGGTGTTTTTTATAATCATGAAAAAAATGGAAAAAAACTTGCATGTCCAGCTAGCGGAGAATAGTTCAGTAAATCACAATGTATATCGTGATAAAATGCTATCTAGTCAATAAAAATGGTATTTATAAAGATGCTTTCCATATAAGATGGAAAATGCCTTAAGTAAATGAAAAATAAAATGCATAATTATGTACACAGTATTTACAGTCAAGTTAAAAAATAAACAATAAAAAATCTCAATGACTAGAAAATATAGTATCTACAAACATACCAATATATTCAGAGTATTCATTTTATGAGCAGTGTGACTGAGGTTTTTTCGTTTTGTTTTCTTCTACTTTTTTTGTGTGTTGCCTAAATATTCTCTCTCGAGCACATGTTACTTCTGCAGTAAAAAAAGAACAAGTGAGCCGCAGGGCACGTTGCGTTTGTGCCCTACCATCACGCCACGACTGGGAGAGACTGAACGTCAGGAGACCGCTAAGATGGCCCTGGTGGCATTGCTAATGGGGCTGAGGGCTGGGTAGATTCAGGGCAGCTGTTCCTAAGTCCAGCTGGTTCTATTCCCCACAGAGTCTTTTAGATCCTTCCTGTTTTCCTCTGCTCCTGCCTTCCTCCCATTCACACTCTTAATTCTTTTAGTCCTGATTATGGCAGTAGCCTTGGAAATTGTCTTCCTGATCCCATCTCGCCTGTGCTGGTCCTTCCAGGTTAATACTGCTAGACATGCTCTTCACACACAGACCCCCACTATTCCTTCCTGGCTCCTTTAGAATAAAATCCAAGCTCCTCAGCTTGACTTTTAGGGTCTTCCACAAGCTGCCCCTAACCCAGCACACCACTCCTGCCACGTCTACAGTGGACCCGCTCCAGATGGACTGGCCGACCCAGCCTACCCACCCTTGGCTCTTTGGGCTTCCTGCCTCTGGGCCTTTGTGGCAGTCTCTCACCTTGACCTCCCTTGATGGACCCATCCCCCACTGCCCGTCAGCCCCTCTGCCCTCCAAGACCCTTTCCTCCTGGTGGGGAAGGCAGAGTGAGCCTTGAACTAGAGTGAGTAGGTTTGCATGGTGTGGACGGGGTGGAGAGGTCTAGAATGCACAGGTCCCACCAATTAATCTCAAATCAAGCTGCCCCTGGTATAAAAGCAGAACCCAAACCAATATGTTCCTGTGATCATTTTATATAATAAAATTGGGTTACACGCTCAGTAAGAAAAGCATGAATATACTGCACATGCAGATTATATAAAAGGCCTTGACATATTGTAAAGTATATGCAAGCAAGTAAAAATGATTTTATCCTAGGTTGAACCTAAAACTAATCTGCTAGCTCTAACGTTAAACATTTAATACTAATTTTGCCTGCCCTCCCTGCGGTGATCGTTCTCTCCTGTAGCCAGCAGAGCCACTTAGAATCATTCTGCTGCCCTTAGAATTGCAATTCAAAATTAGTATCATTCTGTTAAAAATAGCCATTGCAGCATCTAAGTATTTAAAACCTAAAGGCCTCACTGAAGATTTTATTCATAAACATTTGGAGAGGAAAAATCTGTTAGATTTGATCTCTTGTTCTCTCTCCTTGCCCTCCCTGCCTTTCCCTACCCAGCACCACATACATCATCATTATCTCCTCGTCATGGATGGCAGCTTTGGCAGAGGAAAATATTCGCACACAGACAGTGGGAGGGACTCTGTCTCCCTGCTGTGACACAGGGGTCTGCATTTGTGTTTTGACCATATGGACGTGAACTTTGGATGTTGGACCCGGTGAAAGAACCACCCTCCTCCACCCCACTGCCTCCCTGCATCGTCACCTCATTCCTGTTGTGTGTTGGACTCTGGTTCTCAGGTGTTTAGTGTGGGGTGGGGAGTGGCCACATATGGGCAGAGAGGATAAGATGTGAATTTCAAGGTGTTGTTCCTTGGCATGGAATCTGATGGGCAGTGTATGCAGAGCAGCAACAAGCGAGCAGTCCTTATATTTTTCTCCTTCCTCTTTGTACCTTTCCTTTCCAGTTAAGCCCAAGTGCTAGCACACCCCTAGAAACTGGAGACAGTGAGACTAGGGTCAGTTGACAATGACTACTGAGTTTTGACAGCTGCAGAATGCTGTATTAGGCGCTGTCAGGGTCCCCAGTGCCTGGAGCTCTCACCCAGCCCAGGGCCAAGCCCTGGAGGACTGAGATGCCCATGACAAAGAGAATTGGGCTACTCCAACCTGAGGACCCTGGCCCCAGAGCTGCCACAGTGGGGCTCCTAAGAGATACACATTCCCCAGAAGGACCCTGAACCTGATTGTAGGACAGGCTGACCTTCAGGTAGAGATATTGCAGACCCCTACTAGATGAGGAGGGTCATCCTTCCCTTCCTCAGCTGAGGTCAGCCCCCTCTTCCTACTCCTGGGCTCCTGGACAGGTTCTGTCTAGGAGGGTGCTGACCAAATACATCCAAACTACCCAGAATAGGAGGTTCTTTGTCAAGGCCGCTGCTCTTTGAGTGACTCCTGCACAATGACTAGCTCTACTAAAGCTACCTCCCTCTCCCTACTGATCCTGATCTCTGACCCTGGATCTGCCTGTCCCTTCCAACTAAGTCTGGTTCCCATACGTCCCATTCCGCTCCTCCTTTCGTGGAAGCTCAGCGTGTCCCCTGGTTTCCAGCGCGACTCCTGACTGAGCACAAGGTGTGCAAGCGGATCCAGCCGCCTATCCTGGGACTCAATACAAGGTACTTCTTGCCTCCCTCCTGAGCACCAGGACTGCTGTGTCTTTTCCTCAGTTGTAAGTCCCCTCTGCCTTGGTCCCTGACCAAGTTCCTCTTGCTGTAGCTGCCAAGTGTCCTCTCCTGGCCTCCATTGCTGCCCGTGAACCCTAGTCCCTCGCAGATCCCTTGGGTTCTCCCCTCCTCACCTGCTGGGAAGCCCCACTGTCACCTCTGGGACCCTTGTTGTCAGCTGCTGCTATGGTCTGTAACCGCTCTTGCCCTCACCAGTGGGCCCTGCTCCTTCCTACCCAATCCTGCTCCAAGTACCCAGTTAGGCCAGTTCAGATTCCCAGACCCTTCCAGGACACCAGCCCCAGGTCAGATCTCTGCTGATAGGAACCTTCTAACCCTGACCCTGTTGAGTGGACATCACCCTGGGAATCCCTTGCTCTATTCCTTTTGAGAGCATAGGCCTAACAGGATGTACTCGACAGGATAGCACAAAGACAGCATTGAACTAGGGGCTCCCGAGGTCCCATTGACTTCTAATTTTCTAAGATTTTTTGGAAAGTTCAAGTTCATAATTACAAACACTGCATCTTTAGTATTGGGATCAGCGGTCGGGAACAAAGGATAATAGTGTATTCACAGAACTAGGCCTTACACATCTTTACTTTTCACTTTCACTTCTACCATAATGTTCACCTTTCACCAAAATGGAAACTTTCCACTTTCCACTCCTGATAAGTAGCCAATTTTTTTTCCCCTTAGCAAAGGATGGTTTTTCCATATCAGGAATTTCTGGAATTTTTTTGCAGGAAAAGGAAAAGCGGTAATCTCAGCTGTGGGGTTTGGGAGGCCTTCTAGTTTCTTCTCTTGCCTAGCCCCACCCCACTCCTTCCGTTATGTGGCTTAAACTCTGTAATAATGGTGAAATGTCACAGACCCCTCCATGCAGAAGGATACCAGGGTGATTCATAAGAGAAGAGAATCCCACGCGGCCTGCTCGCATTTCCTACCCACCATGTCTGGCTGCCTGAACATGTCCGGGTCTCTCTGCAGGGCAAGTTTGTCCCCTTTGGAAGGGCTCCAGCCCAGTCTGCTTCCCCAACCCTACAGGATTCAGTCTCTGCCTCATGGCCCGCACAGTGGACTTGAAACATGCCAGGACTGGGTCTGCGAGGCACGGCAGGACTCCTGGACTGCGATTGTGCCAATTGTGCAGACTCTGAAGGGCAAGGCTGCAGAGCCAGGAGCAGCTGCCCCCACCCCAGAGGGAGGAGCGGTGGGAGGGGCTCCCGCTCACCACAGGCGCTCCGAGACCCAAGGCTGCCTTTGTATTTGGAAGCTGCTCTGTAGATAGAGCATGACATGATCCATTTGCGACTGTGTCCAGAGACAACTATTTAATAATATTTAATCATATTTTTATTTAACTTAATACTATTAAATAATAATTTAATAATGGTTGATGCAACTTATCTAGGAGGAAAAATGCAGAGTAGAGAGGCCATTTTTTTATTATGATTGCTTGGTATAGAAGTTAGCTCAAGGGTACCTAAGAAAAGATATCTGATGTCTTTAGGGAAAAAAAAGAACATTTAGAAGAAGGCGCGACTTCTGTTACTTTGTGTGTGTTTGGATTTGCAAAGCTGGGTCGCGTCTGAAGCAGTTTGGCTCGTGACCGAGGCAGTTCGACCACGCAGCATCTGAAACTGGGCTGGTGTCTCAAGAAGTATCGTGGAGCCTCATGTTGTGGCCTTGCGATGGCTCCAGAGATTGTCCTATAGTTGCTCTTCCTGAGCTTTCTGTTTACCCAACTTTATTTAAAAAAAAAAAAAGAGACAAAGACTAGCTAATCAAGAATTGTTAATATCTTTCCAACATTCAGTGATGGGTGTGATTTAGATCAAGACATAAAGAAGAACAGGCTTTTAGCTGATCCTTTGTTACATTTACAGCATATGAACCTGGCCTTGGAGCTTCAGGCAACTTTAACGTTTTAAAAGCCTGTGGTGACAGCTTTACTACGGTCTTGTAAGAGAGGCCTTTTGCTACATGCTTTTGACTTAGCCCTAACCTGATTATTTGGCACCCCAGCTAGGTTTTGGAGTTCTCTCTGCTTACTTTGTCCCCCGTGTCATTTCTTCGTGTCGGGAAGTACTTTTCTGTTCCACATAGTTTGACTTTACAAGTGGAAGGATCACCATCCTGTAACGCACGTAAGTCCCGGAAGTCTTGCAATAATCTCACCTCTAGCACCATAGGAAACGTTTCCAACTCCTCCTTCTCTTTCCTGTGAGATCAGTCACTTGATTTGCTTTGAATTTCTCGGGATTCACCTTTATTTGTACCACAAGTTTCTAAAGCTCCCCTGAATACCAGGTGCCTGTGCTGTTACAGAGACTCAAAAGTCAGTGGCTCCAGCAACATGGAAGTGAAGTGTTTTCTCTCTCTCTCTCTCTCTCTCTGTCTCTCGCATCAGTCTGCCGGGCTGGTGGGCTCTGCGCCATGAGGTCATTCAGGAAATTCAGCAGGCGGCTTTTCTCTGTGGGTCTCCGGTTGTTGCCACTTCCCAGCTGGCAGGAAGAGGGAAAGAGAGGACAGGGAGGGCAGTTCTGTCTTACAAGCAGGAGATGCTGACGTTCACGCCACTTCCCCTCCTTTTCATGGCATTGTTTTGTAACAGTCATGCGGCCTCACCTGGCAGCAAGAGAGACTGGGAAATGTAATCTCTCCTGAGCAGCCTCAGGCACAGGTAAAATTCTAAATTACTAGGGAAAGGCAGGGAGCAGATTGTAGGGGAGACATCTAGTATTCTACCCCAGAAAGCTGCCTCCTTAAAGAAAACTGTAAAGATTTTAACCAAAATAATTTCTGACACATTTGCTGCAGCTTCCTCATTAGAAGTAAAAAAACAAAAACAAAAAAACCTACCTCTTTTCTATGACTGTCTACCTTGTTTTCTTTAGAGTGCAGATGCTTCATGATGTAGACCTTACTGGTTATGTTACTATCACGGAGCAAGTGTTGAGTTTGAGCTTAGAGGTACATTTCTAATTCCCATTAGGAATTTGATTCTTGGCATTTTTCTTGGGACTTAAGGGAAGCACTGAGGAAGACAACAACCAGGATAATTAGCGATTGTCCTGTGAAGACTAGTTTGGGAGGGATTGGGTACATTTTGCATGGAGAAGACAAGAGCAAGAATCATGCATGAGATTGCTACTTTCAAGTGTTTGAAGGGCTGGCAGATAGAAGACGATGTGGCCTTCTTTTTGCTGCTCCTAAAAGTAGATTTGTGAATACAGGATAGAAGTTATTATGCTTTAGATTGAAATGTAAAAAGTTTTTAGTTAGTTGTCAAAAATCTAATGAACTGACTTAACTAGTAAACTGTTCACTGTTGGATGTTGTGTATTTCTAGTTACTGAAGGTATTCACTCAGGTTTTAGACTCGAAAGGAATTGTTTAAGTAGTTTAGGGACTTAGCGTTCACGTGGAGCACCTTCTTCATAAGGAGAGAATCAAGTTTATTCTGTGTCTGTCTTGTCTGTCTTGTTCCCTAGGTAGGGTATGTCATCCAAGCATGGCAATACCGTCAGCCATATTGTTTGCATAGTACTTCATCACAGAACTTCTGAGGTTTTCAAATACAGAATTTGCAAATTTTCTATTCCTTAATCTTTGCAGATAGCTGGTCCTCAGGCCCGTCTCAGATTCCTCATAAAGTTCTTGACTTCCTCCCACTGGAACTATTTCTCTCCGTCTTTGGAAACCTCATGGGACATCATGCATGAATTTCTTGTAGCTTTTATTTTCCCTTTAAAGGAAATACCTGTGTATTTATCTTGTCCACCAAGCTCTTGGCTCCTTAAGTTGAAGGACAGCCTTCTTCATCCTTGTACCCCCTGCACTGACTAGGACAGAGCCTTCCCCAGCAGGTGCCCAACAAACGCATCTTGACTTGGGCGTCGAGTAATTCTCTGATCTCACGGGGTCTAGATTCAGAATTTGCTTTTCTGGGCATCAATCCTTCCTGCTTGTATTTACTCATGAAATGGTATAACTCATCTGTCCTCCTGTTCTTCATCTGTAAAACGAGGGGCTGGATGAGTTGGCCTCTAGGCTCCCGTCCAGCTCTGATTCATTCTGCTTCTGTGTTCTGGGCACTCGTTGGAATGCCTGCCCCGACATTGGCAGCCGATGGAGGAGCCTATTCCCTGGCTGCTGCCCAGGAGGGCACCACGCCACCCAGCTTGCCCCCGTCAGGCCGTGGGGGTGGAAGGGGCACGAGGCCCAGTGAAGGCTGTGCTGCTGCTTCCCTAGGTATGTGTGCATCGCCATGGAGGCCCTGGACCAGCTGCTCATGGCCTGCCACTGCCAGAGCATCAACCTCTTCGTGGAGAGTTTCCTCAAGATGGTGGCCAAGCTGCTGGAGTCAGAGAAGCCCAACCTACAGATCCTCGGCACCAACTCGGTAAGGAATGGCCCAGGCACTCTGGGTCTCCCCACCAGGATCCTGGGGGTTGGGGCATGGGAGACCTCCGGGTCAATGTTTGCTCTGTTCCGTTCCAGTGTGGTTTCTGACGGCAAATACAACACACTGCAGGTTTTAGTGTCCCCCTTTAGGTGAACAAAGGAGCGTTTCATTTTTTAATTTAAATAAGTAACATATAAGTTATATATTATGATTTATATGAATATATAATAAAATAAAATTTGCCATTTTAGAGCACATGATTTAAAAACCTAGTGGTTTTAGTATATTCACAAGGTCGTGCAGCGAGCAACACTGTCTAATGTTTAGATAGATCATCTTTAGACTGACGATCTTCAGACTTGTCTGATGATCTTCAAACTTTTTTTACCAATCAATTTTTCCCTGAAATAAAGTGAGGATTCAATAGATAAAAAAAAAAATTAGATTAAAACAGAGGCATTCCTTTGAGAGCAGGGGTGCCCAGGGCCTTCACAGCTCAGCACTCCGTGGGGCATACTTTGAAAGCTGGTCCGGGTTATGCCTCTTTCAAAGGTAGAGTAAACTGATGTCCACAGGACAAAGGTACCAGATCAGTGGAGAGACCGCGGGGAAGCAGGAAACAGGGTTTCTGGCGTAGCGCTGCCTCTCCCTCGCTGTGCAGCCCTGAGCAGGTTACCTTTTACGGGCCTCCACCTTTTCATCCATACCATGAGCAGATTGAACCTGGTCTCTGTAAGGCCTCCAAGCTTTCTAATGCTGGTCCAGCACAAATGCCTGCAATCGTGAGAGGTTATGATTTTGTGCAGAAGAGCTATCAGATACGTCAAAAACTTCCAACTCCATGCGTGTATCTGTGCATACTCGAATGTCCTGTTTGCTTTCTTCAATTCCTTGCCTTCTCTCCCATTCCCTCCCCTTCAAGACATACTTTAAGCTCCAGGTCTTCAAGCAGCTTAGATGCAACTATTAATATTTTACAGGTCTTAGGTGAAGGCTTTATCTATCTGCAGATATCACAAAGGAAGAGTTTAAGGTTTGCCCCTTGGCATCCACAACATGAATTTTTATGGCACAGATCACAGCTCCTTTCCTGTTCTACATAAGTTGGTTTAATCAGAAGAGCATCTTCCAACTTCCCTTCCAGGGACCAAGAGGAACAACCTATTCCCTTCTCCTTCCTCTCCCTGGGAGCCAGCTGCCTTTGACAAATTACACACTGGGGAGCTGGGGGGGAAGCCCGCTGTCATGTTGCCCTGGCAACAGCTTCAGATACTGTTTTAGTTGTCCTGTTTAAGATAACCACAGTCTAGAAGAGAACATCTGAATGGAAAATAAACCAGTCATCGTGCGTCTGTGGGGGCCACAGAAGCAGGTGGCTGCCGGCTTTAGCTTTCCGCGCAGCAAATCCTAGCCCGGGGTAGGTGTTTTGTTAGCTACAGCCTTGCACATTCAGTGTCCTGCAAATGCCCCGTCAGGGTGACTCATTGCATCAGCCAGAGAGCAAGTTGGCTGACGACGGCTGTGCCACAGACAGCGAAGACTAGATAAGGACAGGCCGCCATAAGTGAGTTAAGTCAAACCTTTGCGGTAGATTCAGAGGCCAGCCCGGGAGGCAGCCTTTCCTGTGTGCTAGCATTGCCCTCATCCAGACGCTCTTCCCAGCTCCCTAAGCCCCAGACCTTCCCAAGCCTTCCCAACAAGCGTGTTCTTTTGCTCTTGGTCGTTTCAGACCTGCCAGTGTGCTAGAGCTTGATGTCATCTTAGAGTCTAGCCTGGGAGTTCTGAGCTGGTCTTCACAGGGATTCGGGGCTTTGTAGGGGCAAAGGGGGCCTGGGGAGGAGGAACAGAAGGCTCTGGACCTTTCACTCCTGCCTCGTCCTGCAGCCAGCTCCTTGGTACTATCTGTGTGGAAGTTGGCAGCATTTTATTTGGATAAAAGGTTTTGCTGCCAGGAAATCAAAAGAAAGAGAGGGAAGGAGGGAAAGAGACAAAGAAAGAGAAAACCACTGAGCTCGTCTAACCCTCATGTTGCTGGAGTTCTCTGCCTGGAGATAGAGGCCCTGGGAAGTCAGGGAACGTGTCTGTGCTCGCACAGCCCGAGCTCTGGCTTCACACGGTGATTCACGCAGGCCCTGTGCATCTGTCCGCCCTGGAATCTGACGGTTGGCAAGGTCGGAGGCCCCTCACCAGGCCCCACCCACTGTGGGATCCTCTCCCTGGGTCCCAGACACGTCACCCGGCCTCTGTGCAGACACCTCCCTGCAGGCAGGCTCGGTCTGCCACACGGTGGCCGCAGCCTCATGGGTGAGAGGGTGAGAAAAAGCCTCACCCTGAGCCAACTCTGCCTCCCTGGAGCTTTCTCCTCAGACCCGGTTTTGCTGTCTGAATCAGCTCAGAACAAATCCCTCCTCTGCAGAGTGTCTCTTCAAAATCCCTACCCGCTTCAAGGTCCCCACAGCTGAAACAATCATACAGTGTCCTGGAGAGCTTTGGAAACTCACAGCCTCCCAGGTCTCAACCAGACCCACTGATCAGCACCTCAGGACTGGGGACCTGGGAGTCTATGTTTTATTTTCCTATGTGATACTGTCAGCCAGGTTTGGGAACCACTGACCCACTCCAGTGTTTCTTCTGTTTTTTGTTTTTTTAAAGACAGGGTCTCACTCTGTCGCCTAGGCTGGAGTGAGGTGGCACAATCATAGCTCACTGCACTCTTGAACTCCTGGGCTGAAATGATCCTCCCACCTCAGCCCCATGAAGCTAGGACTACAGGCATGTACCACCACACCCAGCTAATTTTTTAATTTTTTTTTTTTTTTTTAGAGATAGGGTCTTGCTACATTGGCCAGGCTGGTCTTAAACTCCTGGCCTCAAGCGATCCTCACGCCTCAGCTCCCAAAGCAGTGGGACTACAAGCATCAGCCCCATACCCAGCACCCGCTCCAGTCTTAAACCTGCGCAGGACTCTTTCCTTCTTTCCTTCCTTCCTTTGTCCCTGGTGGATATTCATCCAGCTTGTGCTTGATTACCCTAAGGATGAAGTTGTGCTGAGACTTGTCACAAAATCCAAATTTGTTAACACCACTCCTGTACATTACATGCAGTAAAGTATAATTTTAAAAATTTAAGTGATGTTTTCAAGCCCATAATGAGAATACCTAAGAGCTGGATGATGATGAAGGGCTGGAAAATCCAGGAGAAGGTGGAAGGCAGGGCCAGCTAAGCTCACTTATTGCTCAGGATTCCTTTCTGCACACCTGCCTCACTGCATGGGGGGTCCAGGTATGTGTCTTGGGGACAGCGTAAATGACCATGTGTCCTGACATTTTAAGGGCATACACTAATGATAAACTGAAAATTTTCAATTTGATAATTCCAAGATCCTTCACATAAATGATGTAACATATTAGTCTAGTGTATACAAATAGTAAAGTATGAAGATTTGTGGATTTCAAGTTTGTACTTCCACCCTACCTCACACCATATACAAAAATTAACTCAAAATAGATCAAAGGCCTACATCTAGCTAAAACTGTAAAACTCTTAGAAGAAACTATAGGGTTAAATCGTTACGATCTTGGACTTGGCAGTGGATTCTTATATGACATCAAAGAAAAAGCAACTAAATAAAAAACATAGATAAATTGAAAACTCTGTGCATCAAAGGACGTGATCATGAAAGTAAAAAGATGGGAGAAAATATTTATAAATCCTATATCTGATAAGGGTCCAGTAACCAGAATATATAAAAAGTTCTTACAACTCAACAACAAAAAGACGACCCAGCTAAAATATGGGCAAAGGACTTGAATAGAAAGTTCTCCTAAAAAGATATACACATGGCCAAGAAGTACATGAAAAGGTAGTTAACATCACTAATCATTAAGGAAATATAAATCAAATCGCAGTGAGGTCCCACTTCACAGCCACTAGGATGGCTGTTATAATAAAAACACATACTCTCACATACGGAAGATGACAAGTGTCAGCAAGGATGTGCAGAAACCAGGACTCACGTACGTTGCTGGTGGAAATGTAAAATGGTGCAGCTCCTATGGAAAATGGTTTGGGGTTCCTCAGACAATTAGATATATGACCTAGCAATTCCTCCTAGTTGTATACCCAAAATAATTGAAAACAGGGACTCAACAAATACTAACACACACATGTTCGTAGCACTATTCCCAATAGGCAAAAGGTGGAAACGGCGCAAGGGATCACATATTCTGTGATTCTGTTTGTGTGGAATATTCAGAATAGGCAAATCTATCGAGAGAGAAGGTAGATTAGTATTTGCCAGGGGCCAGGGAAGAGGGGAATGGAGAGTGACTCTTTATGGGTATAGGGTTTCCTTTTGGGGTGATGAAAATGTTTTGGTTGCAAAACCTTGTGAATGTATTAAATGTCACTGAATTGGGTTCTTCAAAATGGTTAATTTTATGCTATGTGAATTTTACCTCAAATTGACCCAAAGTCAATGGCACCCAGGCACTTGTGTGTTTACTGTGCCACAACCTTAAATCAAGCACACGCTGAGGCTGGTGCAAAGGTGAGTCACTTAGCTGGTCTAAGGAAGGGCAGCTTCCCTACAGCATGTTAGAGGGAGAAGGGACCCTGGAGATGTCCCTTCTTACAAGAAGGGACTGTGCAGCCCAGTCAGTCCTTCCCTGTCTTACTCCTCCGCCTCCCATCCCCAACCCATCCCCACCCCATCCCCGCCTCCCGGCCCGGGGCTCTTCCTTTCTCTCCGTGGTTCAGCCCTCACCCAGGCTTCCTTCCTTTGCCAGCCTCCCGGACCCAGCGGGACCACACTGTCCACCTACCCTGCCCTCCCTGGTCCCGTGCGGCCACCTGCCTTCCCTACCCGAACGTCCCACCTCAGAAAACGACACCACCTGTGGGTTGGGGCCTCCGCAAATACGTGCCTTACAATTTTACTGGGCCTTTCAGGCCAGCTCCTTGGTCCATTCTTTGGCCACCTCCCTCTTGCGTCCTCA